ATCAGATCAGTGGCTTTTTAAAAAACTGAGTATGCCAAGCTGCAAGTTCCAACACTTTAGACACTCTGGCTTTTTTGGAGGCCTGTTTCAGTTGTTAGGGTAAACAAGCCTCGCTTCACTGTCAACTACTATTGCAAGTTTCTCCTTGACTTCTGATCGCACACAGACCGGCGGAGAAACAGCAGGAACGCCCGGTGTTGTTTTGGACTTCGAGATTAATTTTAAGTGCTCTGATGATGTTGTATTCCCACGCCACAAGAACTTAAGCACCTGCATGTATTTTCCATGATAACGGTTTATGCAAGGTTCAAGTGCCAAGGGTTACCAAGTGATTGGAACCTTAAGATGGTCGGTGTTACGTGATAACGCGACACTGTGGGTGCTAGTGTTGACTTGTTTTGTAGCATGGTGCCTCTGACTCTAGGAATAACCTGCTAATCCCAAAGCTTACAAACACAGCTGAGAGAAAACTTCTCACTTCAGTTGTGTGTGCACATTTATAGTTTGTGTCTGTGCAGGGGTGACATGTGTACTTCTGCTGCAACCTATCTAACAACTGGCAATGACTTGAAGATACAATGTAATACTTAAATCCCACGCGTGTACAGTAAGCAGCTAATCTCCTCTGAAGTGAATAGGCCATTACAGTAAAAATCGTCTGCGCGGTAGGCGAGAGAGTCTCAATATCTCCATTAATGGCATGTCACCACGCAAGGCACGTTGGCGTGTGCCAGGCCCTTTATACCCTATCACTATGCGTGTGAAAGTAAAGTCGCTTTCATGATTATATCGAACGACTTTTAATCACATCACAATGACTTAAGCCCTCCCTATGCAAATTATACTGTATGCGCTAGGTGAGTCCGAAGCAGCGGCAGCAATGGAGGAGACGAGTGCCTTTTGGACAAGGTTTGCTCCGCCGCATTATATCTCTGCAAGCTTCCCAGGTGATGGGGGAGGTGAGTGTGTGTGGGTCGGAAAACCCGGGAGGACGACGTCTGTGTACAGGGGAGGCGTTTCCTGGGAAACAGAGTCCTGGCTGTGGATTAAACGTCTTGCTGTGGTCGTGTGTGTGTGTGTGTGTGTGTGTGTGTGTGTGTGTGTCGTGGTGTGGTGTGTGGTGTGTCGTGTGTTGTGTGTGTCGTGTGGTGTGTGTGTGGTGTGGTTGGGCTTTTGTAGCTTAGTGGCATGGTGTGACATGCTCAGGAGCCGCGTGTTTTTTACATGTTAGGGCAAACACCACAAGTGCTGTACTCATAAATTGTATGGGCAAAGCAGGCGCAAAGACTGCGAGAGGTACAGTGCCACCAGCGCATACAACTGGTCCCACGAATACACTCGCCCCGCTACATTTAGTCTTAACACAATGCGGTCTGTGAGAGTGAAACGCAAAGCAGAAGCCATGCCACAGCACGAACGACACAAGTAAGCTCTTCCATATTTCACATTATTTAAATGTCATGTTTGTGTTTTGTTGATTTACGTACATTATTTCAGTTAACTGGGAAGGTTCCGATAGGCTGACGGCTGGGCAACAGCAACGCGAAAATTTAGATCTGCGCCGGACTGTGTAATGACTTAGAGACAGAACTCATGAGCATAGAGCGAGCTAGCTGGCTGTACCGGGCACGCATGTAACGAACACGCATTCCGTTGGAAATGCACATCCAACACAGAGAAGACACAGCACTCACAGCTGAGGCAATTAGACGCCAGGTTGGTGGGGTGATCAACCGTATAGGCTCACCCGTTTTAAAGAACAGAAATAACGAACTCTGTAGTGTGTGTGTGTGTGTTGTTGTTTTGTATGTGTGCGACAGAGCTCTCGAGGTGTGACTGCTGAACCTCTAGCAAGGTCATATGTTCTCTACTGTGTGTGTGAGAGTGAGACAATAAACCGTTGTAGAGGCTGCTGTCCAGGATAACTCAATCCTCCCCTCAGTGCTGCTCTTCTCTTTGAATGTGCGGCCTTTCTTTCCTTTTGAGGTCCTATGACGGGCCCTTCCTGCTATTGGTCTGCTGGATGGTTGGAGAGAACGAGGGTTGTTGCACACATCCAGCGCTTGGGAGGCTGTCTGCGGGGTGATAAAGGGTTAGAGGTCAACAGGCGGTTTATTCATGGGCTATTCCCCTCTGTGGTGTGTGGTGATGTGTATGTGTGTGTGTGCATGTCGTGTAAGAGGAGGAACCCTGGTGCATTAGCTCGCCTGGTCTGTGCTTAAAGCGCTAATGGAGAAAGCCAAAGGAGGTCAGATCGCTTGGAGGAATGCATCTTCTTAATAAACCACATACAAACTCGCTGTGGTGTGGCGGTTGCGTGCAGTATAAGCAGGAAAGCCAGTGAACAAAGAATATAATGTGGCGGTGTTCTCCATCCTCTTGGTCTCTAGAAGCTCTATCCTGTCTTCTAGAACGAACCCAGAGCCCCACCCGGTTCCTATTTGGGGCCCCCCGCTCACAAAAACTAATCACTCACCAGAGAAAATCAAAGACAGCAGTCTAATGGGGGCCTGGTCTGTCAGCTAGACCGGCCATTTGTCGGTGAGGAGAAGTTGTTTGCGTGGGCACACCGGTTCCAACGAGGCCCTCCTGGAAAGCAAGAGAGACGAGGGAGAAACAAATTAAGCACACACGGGCGGAGCCAGGAGGCCTTTGTGCTGAAGCATCTGCTGAAGAAACAAATATACGATGATACAACACAACATCCCACATGGAACAGTCACGGACTTAGGACACACTTTCTCTGCAACAACAGATTCGACCGTAGGTGTATGCGCACTTTGACAGTAAGCCGTACGATGGATGGAAAGAGAACTTTATGACCAAACATCTCAAGACTTCATGATGCTTTCGGCTTTAAACAGCAGCCGAAGGCTCCAATGCTAAAACTAATATGGTTGACTTCTAATTTTTTAGGATGGGGCAGTTACATCTACACTATGGTGTTGTCTTAAAGTGGAAGAAAGGCAACAGTGGACTGCCTGACTATGTATCAGTTTGTTCACAGATTGTCAGATGATCATGCTGATGGGAATAATAACTAGCTCTTACATTTCAGGGGGCTGTTTCCCTGGATCAAGGTCTACAATCTTCTCTTTTACCCCGTGTTCCAGGATGCAGCTCGCCATGCCGTGAGCGAGGCAGCGCTCGAGTGCTGCTGCTGTCACCATGCAGTTTTTTTTTAGTTTATGTTTTATTGACTTTCTTTCTGATAGATATTCTCTTTGAAAACACAAGAGGTGTGTGTGTGTGTGTGTGTGTATGTGGTGCAGTGTGCTGCTTGTCGTGCTGTGTTGTGGAGGAGGTGATGCTACAGCTTTAGACATTGTAGGTTCTGGTTGAATACTTCCTCTCTGAGTGTTTTTTGTGAGATGCTTGAATGTTAGTACACAGATTAATCCTTAAGTGTAT